CATCCATTCACTTATTCATTCACATTCCTCTACTTCAAAACATCGGTACTTATTTCATTGTTCTTCTCCCAGATGACAAGCGAAGTGCAAATGACAAAGGAATGAGTGGTGGCAGCATTGCAGGAATCGTTGTCGGATTTATCGTCTTGATTCTGATTATCATTATTCTTGTTCTTATTCTTCTGAAAAACAAAAAGAAGCGACGTAACCCACAAGGTAAACCACCCCACCACTCACATACACCTTCAACTATAATAGCTACATAATTTTCTCTCGAAAAAAATCAAAGATAAAATGCAAATTTTAAAAAAAATTCAGTAATCATTATTAAAAGTTATTCATAGTGAAATCATGACGACTTCGAAACGTCGTCAAAAATGAAAATTGTCATTTTTTATTTTGGATGAAAGAATAGAACAGATAGTGGCCACTGCTTCGACTAGAGTGTTAATATGTCCGTAAGTATTCTAATAGTCAGTTTCGGATTCTTGGATAATATTCGGATATTGAGTCTCGAATCCGTTTCGTATAAGCTGTCTGCAAGAAAGCATAGATATGAGAGGGAAACCAAGAGAAAATAAACTAGTTCATTTTCTTTTGGTAAAACTTGTTAATATAGCGCGCGTCATGTAAATTCACGTTTGGGGTATTTTTAGTAACCGGATGAAGTTTAAATTTCGCCTTACCCTACTCCAGTGTGTCATCAACTAGCGCATGCGCGCTTTTACCGTTTGTGGTTTTGAAGATCTTTTTTGTGATCAAAACTATAAACGGAAAAAGCGCGCATTCACTAGTTGATGATGCACGCGTACGGGAGTAGGGTTACTAAAAATACCCACAACCGGCGTACGCGATATAAACAAGTTTCCCTCTTATTTATGCTTTTTTGCGGTCTGATATTATACTCGTTGGAAATGCTTTAGAAGTGACGTTTTACAAACACGTATACAAATTTGGAAAGTATTTGGATAGTACCTTAAAGAGTCTAATTTATATTTGTTTGATTTAACAGCTCGCCATTGCTTCATTAACGAAGCCTATGATAATACAGATGGTATGGTTATGGCAAACGCCGGTGCAATGGCTCCTCATGGTCTACAAGACAACACTATTTTCTATGCATGTATGTACTGTATTAACTTTATCTTTTAAGTTGTGACGTATTTCCGGGTCCAGTCACACAAAAAATCTTGCCACAACTTATTCCCAGGATTTATTCTCTACCTTCAACGATTAAATACATGAACAGAAAATCCTTTTATGAAGAAAAGTAATTATAAATTGGACCCGGAAGTCGTCTCTCGTTCGAATTACGTCACACTTAAGATGTTTCGATACAGTTTCGTGATCACCAAACAGAACTTTTTCAATCGTCGCGTTGACAATGTTCTGTTTGCTGGATCATTTTAGAATTTGTACCAGTTGTTGCTCTTGGTTTGAAGTTTGTACTAATGTATGTTTTATTAAAATCAAAGTCTTCAACGCAAGAAAATCGAGAAAAATCGAAAATTGGAAAAAATAAAAGTGCGCGCGATTCAGATGTGCTGTAGAAAAACTGTTAACTCCTAAGAATCCCCAATTCATATGAAACGAAATATTAAGGATTTAAAGAAATTATATAAAAGAATTTTATATGGTGCAAACCCATTACTTATAAAAATCAAGTTACTCTTTTTTCTCTTGTCTGTCTGTCTGCTTGTCTTATTTATTCTTGTCTGTTTGTTTGTTTGTTTGTTTGTTTGTTTTTTTATGAGAGTAACTTGATTTTATATATAACTAATGGAATTTCACCATATAGAATACAAAAGGCATCAAGCGAGAGCAATCACGAAGGAATGCACTGATAGTTGTCAGGAATATATTAGCATAAACTTATGAACCGCGAAAAGAGACTGTAGAGTTCTTGCCTTGTGACTTCCCAGCTTCAAGGGCCATTTTAAAAATATTAGAATGAATCAACCGACATGAGCTTTTGCAGGTACAGATCATATATCCTTGAGAAGACGTAGCTAATTTTAAAAAACAATCGTTCGAGCCGTTTATGAGAAATCGTGGAAAACGCAAAACTTTGAAGATTTGCTAAATCTTTACTTAAAAACGCTCTTCGAAAACAAATTCGTTCTCAAGACCAGCAAGGAACTAGTTGACCAAACTTACACAGTTTAAAAACAAGAGCAACAGCAACATTTTAGGATATTTTTGAATAACTTTATTCAATAGTAATTTTTTAAACCGAGTGCGCAAAAGCGATAAACAAAACTGAGAGTATGAAATGTTCGTGCGATTTTTTCCAAATCTAACATAAGAATTTCTTTAAATCCTTGATATTTTGTTTGTCATGAATTGTACGAAACTGTATCGAAACACCTTGACAGCTCTATAGACCCTTGTCAAAAGTGTTGTGGATACAAGGCTAACATGGAAGCACTTTTCAAAAATCACACATTTTCTCGATGGAATTTGTGACATTTCTTTTGTATGTATTTCATGTGAGCCTCGCTTTCAAGACAATTTTTAGAAGAGTACATATCACTCCACTTGGTACGCAGCCGCTTATATAGGACCGTCACGCAACGCTCTCTTTCCAAACTAGTTAGAGTGTCCGGCTTGTCCGACGTCTTTTCCATACTAGTTAGGGCCAATCGTCACGCAGCTTTTTCTTCCCAATCTAGTTTGTGTCAAGAGAGCCCAGCGTCACGCAGCGCTTCCATCCCTAGGTGATTAGCCCTTGGCTTCACGCAACACTTTATTTCGTCCTGCGTTACGTAACGAAATCTATTCAAGAAAACATTTTTGATCGTAAAAGTTTTTGCTAAATATAATTATATTTTTTGATAAGCCCTCTGCGATTGCCATTGAATGCCTTGAATATCTGTAGTCATGAAATCAACAGATTAAAATTGTACACGTCGGATTAACACGGCGGAAAATAAACACCTGACCCACTAATTGGTGACGTGCACCCCTTTCCATGAGAATGAAAAGACGTGGCCACCATGTTGGTTGGCATGACAGAAGGCACCAAGACCAAATCTTTTGTCAAAGTCATCCAAAATGGGACGTCACGTGCTCCCCAAGAATAATAACACTGATGACCTATAGTGTAATATTTCTCACTAACGTAATAAAACATATTTTCTAGCGGCTGCTGTAGCTCCTCCTCCTTACACACCTGAGGCTGCAGCCAACGATCCCACGCCAGGTTACACGGTTCCAACACCCACAGCTCCTTCTGAACAGGTCTACAGTAATCTGTACTCTCGTCCTCCCCCGTATAACCAATACAATGATGCAGATTCTAATTCTACGACCACGGGGATAGGCTCTGTCACCAACCTCCGCGCGGCAGCCAATGACGGGTAAGGATCGCTTCATTTCACATAGTTTGATCCCGAGATGTGATGATCATGAAAAAGGTGTTTGTTGGCGGCATTTTTTGTACGCAACTGCCTCGCGCTCATGTATGCCCGACCGCGATATTTTTGATAGCGGAAATCACATGTGGAAATGCAACTACTGGATTAAGCAGTTGTGTACCTTACTAACTCACGACATCACACAAGTGAACCAACAAGCAACTTTAATCACATACGACAACTACTTCGGGGATAAACCCCGGGTAACAGAGGTGAGAGGCGAGCACTTTCACTGTTTTGCCACTGTTTTGTTTTTCTCAGATTAGCTAAGATTTGCTAAGATCACTCCTAAAGGAATAATCATAATTTTCATTTTTTCGAACCGTATTTTATTCCCAAGAATTAAAAGGACTTTTCTTGGTGTTTTGCAGGCAACAAGCTGTAGAAGCGACCGCATTTCCACCTCTCAGTGGTATGTATCAGATACTAATGTTATCATATACAAAGAAAGATTGCTATCAGGGGCTTGGGATTCTCGGTCGGATTTTGGGAGCGCAAAATGGCGGAGCATTTTGATCACGACCTATAATTCTTTCCCACAATCCTTTGCAGCAGTGATGAGGAATCTTGCTCCTCGGATTCTTAATTCACCTTAAAACACGTCTCAATGAAGACTGTTCCATGCTAGCAGAGTCTCTGACGTTGGCGATATCAACAAGGGGAGACTCTACTAGCAGGGAATATCAACTGCAGTTTATCCCTAGTTATCGACCTTTTTTATTACATGGCACAGGAGTATTGCCAGGGAATGGTCTCCCATCTGTTGATGGTGATACAGCATTTGTGAAAAGTGTTCTACCACCAATAGGCATTCCAGCTCAAGACACAAAAACACCTTTGCCCGACGATCAAGCCGGTCAGTTAGCCTTCTTATAAATACACTCTACAAAATTACTCGATTCTGATAGGACAAGAGGAGTACAATTAAATCCCAAATTGTACTCTGTAGAGTCCCAACTAACTTGCTCAATTTTGTTGAGTGTATTATAAACAAAAAACGCATAATCTTCTCGTACAATTCGGAATTTATAAATACTCGTGATGTTCTGAAAGTTCTCAAATTGAACTCGCATAAAGGCTCGTCCAATTTTGGAAACTTTCAGAACATCACTCGCACCTATAAATTCCGAATTGTACTCGTGCGATTTCCTATACTAATTGACTTTTGTTATTCAAACGATCGGTCGATCGGTCAATCGACAACCATTGCTTGCAAAACAATGTTCGAAACAAATGCTCATTGAACGAGACAAAAACAGGTAACAACTATACCTCATTATATTGTACACAGGTCCTTTACCGGAAAAACCTCCACTGACGGTTGTTCCTGTTACCAATAACAACCATCCACCTGCTCGGCCCAATGGCCTTGCGCCATTGGAAGGCATCAATCGGTGTCCGGCAAGTGTGGCATTTGGCGCGGAAGTTCCCTTTGAATTCATTTGTCCGATCTCCAACGAAATCATGAAACGTCCGGTATCTGCTTCCGATGGCTACACGTACGACCGCCGAGCCATAAAATCGTGGTTCCGACAAAATCGGACGAGCCCGATGACGAACGAACCGATTACGGACTTTACCTTACGAGCCAACGAGCATCTTGAAGCGAGAATCAAAGAATTTGTTCGGGCTCATTCAAGAGCGTAAATCACTCCAAATCACAAATTGTTAATTCGAACACATCAGTTTTTGTATCATAGAGTGTCCTGCAGTTTAACGTGATTTTTCCAACTGCTTTTGTACGTATCATCCAAATTATTATTATTAACCGTTAAAAAAGCTGGCGTCCTTTTTAAAGAAGTTTCTTTTTATTAAAGAAAAACGAATGCAATGACGCAAAGGATATGAAATGGGAAAAATGAAAATGAAAAGAAGACTAGAACACGAAAGAAAGTGAAGAAATGGGGGAAAAGAAAGGAAAGAGGAAAGAAACATACTTTATGCATACAAAATTAAATGATAACGGCTTTGCGACTATCTAGTACTTGATGCCCAAATGACCTCTCTAAAACAATGACAGTTTACATGTAAGTTAGCGTAATCTAGTCGTACGCAATATAGCCTCCTTTTCTACACCATGTATACCGCTGTTTTTGATGACCACAGGCTCAATCATACTGGTTAACGTCGTTTTACATATTGAATCAATGTACTACTTAGACGATATGGCGGCCATCTTGCCAGGGGGCAAAACAAACATGACGGACAATATATAGAGTTTCATGTGTTTGTCTTTCTTGTATGGGTAAAGGTGATCGATGTGTCGTCATAATCCATCTTTTTTTTAATCCTCTTGTGGTGACTGTTAATATCAATCAACGTCATCACTGTAACAGCTTTTGCCTCCCTGAACGCCCCATAATGCCTTGCGATCCAAGATGGCCGCTGCATCGTAGAAGTTAAGCGAGGCCAAACCTGTTCAAATTGGTCTGTAGTCAAGAAAACCAGCGGTACTTACTTGATAGCATAAAGGACCATTGGCAAGGATTTGGGCGTGCAGAATATTGTCGTTGTTATAACAGCGCCATCTTTTTCAAGCGATGCCCAAACCAATGCTGTGCAGCTGTTGTGCTAAATAGATATTATAGTCGCTTCGGCCATGTTTCAAGAGTGTGCATATATAGAGTTATAGGCCAGATACAAACCCGGCAGTTTCTACTAGAAGACAGATTTACTTACACCACAATATGTTTTTAAATGGAGGATCCAGGATTTAGGAAGGGAGGGGTGGCTGGTTGGCTGGCTGGCTGGCAACATTGTCCATATTTTGCATTTATTTTTTCTCTTGATGTTGATTTTGCTCTCTTAAAATAATACATAGATGAGGCAGGCAAGATTGTTTGGTATACTTGTCAAACATTGATAAACGTGTTGCGTTGTGGTCTAGCTTGGATACGAACATCTCGCTCATCATGTCTTATGTTCCATCTCGTACTCAGAGACTTTATTTCTTACTGCGCATGCACGACGAGCATGTGCAATATGAAATAAATGAAGAGCTCTTGGTTGTACAAGATTGGCCTTATATTGTGTTGTTTGTACCCAAGCTAGACCACAATGCATCAGATATTATCGAACTCAGAAAAGGCTGCAAATTCTGAATCTTTTTTATAGAAAAGTCCAATTTGAACGGACCATATCCCTGTATTTGAATCACTGGTTCTATACTTGCCAACAAACTGGAAGCGGCTTATCAGTAATGCGTAGAGCTGGTGATTTCACGTGCACTTACAATGAATAAATTGAAGTCTCACGAGGCATATGCAGTTTCTACGTACAGAGTTGTTCTCTTTCCAATTAAATTTAATTAAATATTAGAGGTTTTTGAGGAGTGAGGGAAACATGGCAATCTATGTGTTAAACAATTGATCTTTGTTCACGTGTGACAAAGAGCCCACAGATCTACTCCCGGACAGAAATCACTTACTGGACAACATAACTACATTCTCGTTAATATATCAATTTCAGAACAAATTTTTGGTACATATTTATTCAGAATTTGATATTTTTATCAGGTCGGGTCAGGGGGCAAACAACTGCAATTATTGTCGTGAAGTCGGGGAGACTATGGTTAGAGTTTCCACGGGATCTTTATTGACGCTCACAAGTACTAGTAGTGACAAGACTGTTTCACGACTAACAATCTATATATCTCTCTCTCTTTTTTTCTGACTAACTATCTGAAACTATAGAAGGAATTAGCATAATTGTAGAATTAATTATGAAAACTGGTTTGAGTCTGGTTTCCAGTGAAAGTACTGAGTTGCAGAAATAAATCAGAATATTGGCCTTATTGACCTAAGAACCTTAATCTTAAAAAGAGCCTTTAGAAAAGGATTAACTGAATAAAGCGTCGATGACGGTCGCTTGTGTTTCTAAGTCAAAACATACTATTCTAAGTAAACCAAAGTTTATACCAAAAATAAGGGAATAATTCTTAACTAAAAATTTATGAGTAAACAACTATAATGAAGGACGCCAAAAATATACGTGTCCTTAGGAAGTCTTTTCTGCGCAAGTCTTACTAAACTGGTTTTATGAACAGCTGAAAGTCAAAAGGTCCAAGTCCAGATTATTGAGTAAATAAGAAGAACCTTTCATTATCCGGTGAATAGAATTCAATTAGTGACCTTTGTTAGGAAGGTGTTTTACAAGGTCAACAAACCTAAATCTTTTGTTCCAATAGTTACTTCGTCCTTAAGGCTAAATTGTTACCATAGAAACCTAAGTGAGATCTTAGATTTCATGTACAGTACAAATCAGATGTTTTTCTGGCCTTCTTACATTATTGATATGATTTTCAAGTTTTCCAGTAATTCTGCGTGAACATTTTCCTGATAAATCAACTTTTTTTAAAGTGTGGTCTTATTAACGTTTTTTTTTAAAGTGGTCTCTTAACTCTACCAAGTTTGCCCCGAAAGACCCCACATGGCTAATTTGCATTACAATATGAAAACCATCATGTGGCGTCTATAGTGAATAGCTTAGCTTGAATGAAATGTCTTCCATTTTAGTCCATGGGCCATTCTCTTTAAAATAGAATCGTTTAAGTAGTGCCCATATTCAAGTGTAAAGGGAATGACACGCGGTCTGAAATATTAAAACATTACAGCCAAGCTAAAAAGGTCTGTTATTCGATCTAACAAGCATATCAAGCAACAGAAACAGTAATGACATTTTCTTTATCTGATATTAACAGTATTTTTGTTAGTCTTCATGAAACAAACAAAGGCATAGTTAGGGCCACCGAGTGCATTAGCGGCTAAACGTGGGTCGTTGATCAGATTCCCAGCACCATCCGTGTTAGTGATACGAGTTTGTCCAGGTTTATGAGACCAGTTGCCATTACTGTCCAGGCGATACCAATGAAAATCCACGCCTGCAAGGACAAGAAAAAAAATGTTCAGTACCTTATTCAGTTGTTGTAACTCGTTTTGATCGGAAAGCGCGCGAAAATGTTGGAAAGCCATTTTGGTGTTAAGCGTTCTGTAAGTCGTAGGTTTCCTACATATCGTATACTACCACGCTAGTTTTTATATAGCTCTGATAAAGTCTGCACTAGGTAACTTGTGACTTGCCTGGATCAACGACAAGTGCTACAAGATGCCAAGGACCAGTAGGTGATATATTCGGGATATCAGCACCTGCATCGACCTTCACCAGACCATCTCGTCTGGACGCTTCTTTTATCTCATCATTAGTTATTCCACCGTACACCAGCCCACTTCCTCTTCCTGGCTGTGCGAAGGTGTTTGTAGCTTTGTCGTTACCGTAATTGTAGCAGTTGTTTCTGGGTCTTGCATAATTAGTATTCCAGATGACGCTCGCTCCTTCGTAGTTAGGAGCAGCGCGTTTCACCACACGTTCCTTCAAATCTTTCGGATCAACAGGCAAGACTTTCCCACTTTTGATAACCACTGCCACTTGATTTTGTAGTGATTCAGGCAATCCTTTTCCCACAGGAATTGACTTTAAGAGCTGTTCCTGCAGTTCTTTTGTCGCTGGGCCCAGAATCAAAGTGGCTTGATCTTGGCCGTTTTCTCGTATAAGAAATCCCTTGTAGCCAAGCTTGGCTGGCATTTGCTCGAGTAGATACGTAGCTCGCGAAGTCTTGGCGGTCCCGTACAACTGTTTGATCTTTTGGTAGTTAAAGGCGTTTGGGGTGACCAGCCATTGAGGATCAGGAACACCAGAAAATACTGCCAACGTAACATTCAAAGCTTCGGGAGAAACTATAGGGAAAAGATTAGTGTCAAAAAAACTTGGTCCCTAAGTCTTAAATATCAGTCGAACTTTTGCTTGAGTAAAATCGATGCTTCGTAACAAGGGTTTCCTGGTTGTACTATAGAAGGGCGGCCACGCAAAGATTTTTTTTTTAAAGTCAAATTTCACAACTTTTCAAACTTATTTCTATGAGAAAGTTTTGGATAGCCTGCAGAGCAGGAGTTTTCGTGATGGGTTTGAGGAAGAATCGGGGTTTTGGGGTTCCTGTTTCAACTACGTGCCCGCGAGAAAAATGGGACCTAGCAAAAAAATTCGCTCGTTCCAAAGTTCCAAAGTTCCCCCAAAACTCCGGTTTCTCACGCTAAGTTTTGGACGATAATAGTTTCAATAGGGTCTTTTTCTATTGGATGATATTTATATTTTGCATTTTGGGTTGTCTTATGGAAGAGGAACGCCTGATTGGTATCATGGATTTCAAAAGAGGAAGATAATCTATAAGAGGAGGATAATCTATTAGAGGAGGATAATCTATTAGAGGAGGATAATCTATTAGAGGAGGATAATCTATTAGAGGAGGATAATCTATTAGAGGAGGATAATCTATTAGAGGNCTATTAGAGGAGGATAATCTATTAGAGGAGGATAATCTATTAGAGGAGGATAATCTATTAGAGGAGGATAATCTATTAGAGGAGGATAATCTATTGGAGGAGTATAATCTATTGGAGGAGGATAATCTATTAGAGGAGGATAATCTATTAGCGGAGGATAATCTATTAGAGGAGGATAATCTATTAGATGAGGATAATCTATTAGAGGATAATAATCTATTAATTTTTCTTACCCATAGCACTTCCTTGGCATTTACCAAGGTAGCCAATGATGGCCAGAGCAACAACGAACAACTTCATTTTACGGGTTCCTTAAGAAAAATGTGAAGCAATTATTAATAATAATTGCAGAGTTTAATCCATTTAAGAGGATTGTTTAAAGTTGTTTTGATAAGCGGTATTTCAACACTGATATAAGAAAATGTTTTACCGAGTTACAAATCATCATTTTCGAAACTCTAACTCACTTGAAATTTATTTCTTTTTTTAAACCTTATCCAGATTTTTAGTGTCAAGTCACTACTAACTGCAGACACATCTTTGAGTTTATGTTGACAGTTTAACTAACTTAAGAGATTTGCATTAAAGTGATCTGATCTTGCCTGCATTGACAACTATAACTGTAAGAAAGTTTCTTTTCCAGTAGTTCTGGCCAGAGCGCCTTAGATCAGCTCAAATATTTTACTAGACCCGCTCCATGCAATATTGACTTACCAAGTGGTTTTCAATACATGCGATGCCACCGTCAATGTGTCACCGTCAAAGCAGATCCACTTCTCATAAGCGATTAAGCGTTTAGTCATAACAATGGGATAGATGAGAACCTTATGACATAACGATGCAAGAAGCTCAGAGATTCAATCGTTAATGATCGTTACCGTCTGTTGCATGAATTGTCGACCAAAGCTAAACAATGAAGCACTAGGAAGAATTCAACTGTAAAGCAAGTGGTCGATTGAAGCCTTGATTAATGAAAGGACTCACAGCTTGCTAAACTGGTTCCTTTCAAATTTGACAGCTTTAAAAGAATAACGATATCACTTTTTAAACTGAAAAAAAAAGTTTACTATGTCTATATTTATTGAAGAGGAGTAAGTATTCATTAGCTAAAGAAATATCCAACAATCAATTTCTATAATTCTATAAGTAACAAACACTAAAAAAGCCCTAAAAGTATATTCTCATAATTAGATTTAGTGAAGTATCTTTTCATTTGAGGTTGCTTTTGCTTCCATTGGCTATAATCCCATTACATTTCTCCTTTGTCGATAGATTCTATAATTTCGTCAACCAGGCTTTTAGAGACGCTACTTGGAGCTGTTTGAAGTAACAGCTTCTGTAGTTCCTTTGTCTTTGGGCCAAGAATTAAACTAGTTGGGCCTTGACGGTCCACTCGGATAAGTAAACCCTTGTAGCCAAGTCGAGATGGCATTTTGCTAGATGGTAGCGTGAACTTGTTTTTCTTGGCATCTTGGAAAGCATCGTAGATTTGTTGGTAGTTTGGGTCACCCTGTTTGATTTGCCATTCTGGATCAGGAAGACCAGAAAAGACAGCTAAAGTTATGTGCAAAGCTGAAAAAGAGAAAAATATCCAAATAAAAAATAAAAAAGAAGAAAAAGAAAAGAAAGAGAAAAAAAACGTAGTGGTTGTAGTGGCGGTAGTGATGGTAGTAATGGTTGTGGTCACTAGTAGTGGTAGTGATGGTGCACATGATAGTAGTAGTAGTATTCTCGGTAGCGGTAGTGATGTGATATTCATTAAAAATACATTACTCACCCATTGGTTTCTTGTTTATATATATCTTTTAGATCTAAAAAAGTGCAAATGTAATAAGATAAAAGTCATTTTAGCAAACAAATTAACGCCTTGGTGTCGAGAAAGAGTGCAGCTAGGTTTAGTCACGCAACTCGAGTGATTCAATGTCACGCAAACATTCTAGAAAATACTAAGGCATTGGAGCCCAGTTATTTGGTTCGCCAGTGGATGGCATCAATCCACAAATGATGAATGATTCGGGAAGACAGATTTTTTGGCCCGATACAAACTCCCTTGCAAATAAATCATCATAATAATACCAATAAATGAAAGGAGAATATCTACAAACCCTTTGAACCGTGAAGTGTCTGATAAATATAAGACTTTATAAGCAATAATGTTATCGAAGTACTACAAATATTCTTCTCTTAATCTTCTTACATGTACAGACGACTTCCAGAAGGTAAACAAAAGAGTCGAAGCAAGCTGCAAGATTCGTTAATCATTGAATATTATGAAAATACAATATAAATTTCCTACAAAATAGTCGAGTAGTTTTCAATCTTTAAAGTTATAATTGCGATGATACGATTGAATGAGTAGCTAAATATGCATCTAAACTAGAATTTTCGTTATAATGATACTTACAACTGGTACTTTTGAATTACTTTCCCTTCAAATAGCTTTCGCTTGTTTGTGTCGATTCAAAGAAGGACACAGATCGAATTATAATTTACAAGTCAAATATATGAAGTCACGCTCTACTGTCGGCACAGGAAGCCCAGTACGTACGTTTTGCCATTTATATTTTAAAAAATTCCCACTTTTATGATATGGGACTTTTGCAAGGTCAAAAAAACATTTTTAATATCTATTTTCCCTTTTTCTCTATGACTTATAATAAAACCTTGGTGGTAACATTTGTACTCTAAAATGTCCCCCCCNCCCCCCCAACTACCGCACCCCCTTTTCCTTATTCCCAAAAAAAAGCTTATTTGATTCGTGTGTGCATTTTGATCTGATATCATTGAAGGCTGCTCATATTTGGAGGGCTCAAGGCAGCTCAACACCCAGTTACAGTACCCTTTTCAATGAATCTTGTCTAAAAAAAGTAAAAACGATTTTAACTACTTTTTTCTTTCTAATTTTTATTATTTTTTGTCTCATACAAAATATATTTTATACTAAACTTTGAAAAAGAATAATGGAGATGAACTCTTCAAATTCAAGAAAGGGAATACTTTACAGCAATTAGTCGTTTTAGACAACTATTAAAATGTGGGCCATTTCAATGGACTACAGGGGACATCTTTAATCGCAAGGCATTATGGGTCGTTCAGAGGGCAAAAGCAAATAGCGAACAATATGAAGAGTTTGTTTGTTTGTCTTTCTTTCTTCTATTGGAACAGGTGACTGCTTTGGCGGGTTTTGCTGTATTATTGACATGCAGTATAAATAAAAATGTATCACCAAGCTCTCACACGTTAGCTCTATATTTGACCCCTAAACGTACTATAATGCATTACGATTCGCCGTATCGCCGTAGTCTAATACAATAATTTCTCCTTTTCCAGATCCCTTGTCCGAAAAAACCTGGTAACGAGCTATTAGAATTTTATTCGAGTTTTCGTTAAAAGTCTCTCGCTAAAAAACGAAAAAAGAATTTACCTAAATAGCATCCACCGGCCCATAACGACTTCTCCTTATACTTAGGGAATAACTACCCTGCATTAAAATACATTTTAAACTCCGGTTCCAGAGCAGTATAGCAAGGACAATAGCTTATACCTTATTCTCATTCCCAGATCCGGCTACTTATTAGAAATATCCGATTTTCTAATGAGGCTTTGGGTACGAGAATGTTTACACCTTAAATAGATCGAAAAGGTACGTTCATAAACAGGCTGACGTACCTTGTTAAATAATGCCCTTTTCTATATAAAACCACTAGCTAATAGACCTTCATAATCATACTTTGAACGTTACTTAAAGACCTCGTATACTTTAAACTATGAAAAGAATGTTATAAATTGCATTAAACCATACTGCTGAAAATTAGACGAGCTGTGATTGGTTGAATGTCGAGCCAATTAAAAATGCAGCCATACAAACCGGCCAATCAATAACAGAGCTCTTTTTACCTTGTGCCATAGTGATGATTATAGAGCAAATTTATAGATAATTTATTTCACGTTGTTTTCAAAATGGCCGCTCATAACGTCATGTCTTCTTTTCAGGAGCTACAGCATTAGATTCTACCGCCTCCCCCACCCCCTACAAGTATACTCGTTGTTTCTGACCCCACCCTGGATCGCCTCTTGTTAGAATCTGTAATATTTACTTCGATCCCTGATCGGGAGGGATCATTTCTTACAGTATACCCCAATACCCTTGATCTCTGTTATGTCATAAAGTACTCTATCTGCATAATAATTAGCACGTCCAAGTGGAATATCTTTCTTGAAGATCTGGTTAAAGGCCTGGAAAAACAACAAGTCGTTATTGGTAAAAAGAACATGGCGTGAGTTAAATAATACACATTAGGCATTACTTTCTTTTCCAATTGTCAAACTGTTCCGTGTGTACGAACCATCCTAACGTTTCTAATGTCTTAACGCAACTCTAATAAGTGTGTATACTGACACAAATACCCCGTTAACTGATTCCTCATGTACGTCCTATGTCTGAAGTACCGTAATGTGAACGCCCTTGCTTACTTACGCACCACCACCCCAAAATCATTTTGATAATCCACCTACTTTCACCGACCCCCCCCCNCCCCCCAATCCCCCGGCCCACCCTATACTAATATGAGAACCCATATCCCAACTCTTATATTTCTAATCTTTCTTTTCTCGTTCGTACTCACCTTTTTCATGTGGTTTATTCTTTGTACGACACTCAACGCCTTGCCAGTCTTCTTGTCCGGTATGTTGCCACTTTCGAACAGTCCATAAAAAGCTTTGAACAGGTTGGAAAGGAAACGATTAACACCCTCTCCGCCAAGGGACTGGATTCTAGCGTCCATGCCCTTTACCCAGGCTTTGACACTAATGATGTCTTGCCGTTCTATTGCCTTACTGCTCTTATCCATCCACTTGCGAACACCTGAGAAACATGAAGCAGTATGTTATTGGTATTGATTTTTTTCACAGCTGCCATGTTGGATGAATTTAACAAGATTCGTTATTAGTCTCTTTTGTCATATCATCCAACATGGCCATCGTTTCTTTTGTTTTTGTTTTTTGTTTTATTCTCTCGGGAATCATTGAAAACCAGCAATTTGATTGAACAAGGAGAACAAGAACCAATAACCAATTAGATGCAAGAAAAAAATCAGAGAAAGCCATCCCATCCGATGTGCCAAGGGCGCGCGGTTTTGGATCATTTGCTCTTCACAAAGCTATTCGTAACCAGGCGATTTCGCTTCTCTCAGCTCAAACGGATTAACCAATCAGGGAACATTTTGTTCAAAGCACGATATTTTCTAGTTCCAGGTTTTCGGCTAGATAAACAACAATTTTGTCGCTTTAGAAAATAAAAGAAATTCATCCATGATGGAATGCGCGCCGTTTTAAAAACAGCATATTTCCACTGTTTGGTGAAAAATATTTCTTTTTTTTTTTAACAGATAATAAAAAGATACTTGGAAATTTTCGATGTGATGAACACTGCATTCCGCGCCAAGATTTCAAATCACGTGGAAATAATGTATTTTATTATATAATTACCAATGAAATATCTATTTTTCTCTATTTCGAAAAATTGATATCTTCACACGTGAAAATAACATGTTATTTCCACGTGTGAAAATAGCATTGCGATGGCTATCCAAAAATACACGGAAAGAATTGCCTGAAAAAGCCAAAACATACTTTCATTGATAATTATATAATAAACAGAATATTACATGGCCGCTTGGAGATACGAATTTTATCTTCTCGTGTTGAAAATCTCTCACTCGTTCGCTGCGCTCACTTGTGAGAGATCTTTTCAACACTCGAAGATAAATTTCGTATCTCCGCGCGCCCATGTAATATCCTCTATTTATATTTTGTTATTCATGTGTCTTGTATACACTCAACTGAAGAATCATTGTCGGGTTCAGAAACATAGAAGCTGTGACCGAAATGGCACATGGGAAGTACGTTAATTAGATGCATGCTGTGACCGGCGACCCGTGGCATCATCCACTGTTTTTATTACGCGTTTGGCATTCTAATAAACCGACTTCATGGATAGCGCAAATGTCATTTCCCACGTGCTATTTCGGTCTCAGCTTTCTGAACCTGACAACGATTCTTCAATTGAGTGTATAGGCACTTCTCTTACCAACACTGAGGAAGTTCAAGCTTCGTTCAATCTTGACCATCTGATCTTCTGTTCCCGACACTAGTTTGGCTGGAAATACAATCAAATCTAGTCGTTAGTAAAAATCCTCTCAGTAGACTGCAAACCCATATATCCGTGAAATAGTACTAACTAATTAGTACAAAATAGCACCAATGAACGATTGAAGACAAAAGAAATACCTTGTCTTTAGTGCTATTTACTTAGTGCTATTTCAAGAATATATGGTTTGCACAGTCTATTACCCAATTTTTGCTAGTTGATTTTAAAAACATCCCTGATCTGAGAACATACTGACTTAGTAATTAACTGAGTAAGTGTATGTATTGGATATGGATGCATAGTCGCCCAGTATGAAGACAGGCACTTAATGAGCTTTCAAACTGCAAAAACACTGGCTCACATAATTATTCCTGATGGGGATATGGAAGTTCTCAATATCGGGCTCTTTATTGAAATAAGATTCAAAGAAATTAAAACTTGATCTAGAAGGCAAAACAATAATGTCATTCTCATAGGAACACTTTCTGGTGCAATACCTGATGTTTCCAGTTGTTTGGTAACTCTTCTGAGTCTCCTCCTGAAGTTGTCCTTCTCCTTGGCAAACATGTATCTCTCGTACATGTAGGTACTGTACATTTTCTTCACAGTCTTCATCATGTCACGACAGATGTTCAACAGCTGATGGTAGATCTTACAGCGCCCTTTCTCGGAGGCTAAAAAAAAACAGGGAAAAAAGTCAAAGGGCGCTATATTTACGTGGAAAAAACCTAAATTCCGGTTGGAAGAACAAATGGTATACATCATCCCGATTGGAAAATTCCGGAAAACTCGGTCTTGCTATTGAAGTAATCTCATTGAAGTAATCCACTTTTCCCGCTCTTTTCGGTTCTTCCGGTAGACGCGTGTACCATTTGCTGGAAGTAAATTTTTTTCAATAGCAAACATTTTCCAACCGGATGGATTGGCTTAAATGGTAAACACCCAAGGATTCAAGTGTTGATCCCGATGGGGCAAATTGAGTGGCTGGATAGCCACGCCTCCTCCCCATTCATTTGACAGGAGGAATCTTTATAGGTGAGAGGTATTTTCTTGAATTAATCATCCTGGATTCACCATTGATAAATACATTGATAAGGCATTCATAGTGAAGGGTGTCATATTGTTGTATGAATCTAACTTCCATACGCATCAACGTACCCAAATTTTATCAATCAAAGAGAAACAAAACAAACAAGCAAACCCAAAAAAGCAAATGCAAACCGGCTGCTTTGAGATAATAGCTTCAATTTCTTTCTAGAATTTTGTGCCTATTTTCAGAGATACCACTATTCAACTCATGCATGCTCAGGCAACCTAAACCCAAGTCAAAAGAACCTGGACCGTGAGGAGGGAGGAGTATGGATGTGTTTACTATTTATCTACCTGGTATTTTCCATTTCCTTTTCAATGTAGCTTTGCCCATAGCAGGGTGGTTAGGGATGGGTTTAGCCTCATCTTGTAAGGGGTTGTGTTCGCGGATGAGGTCCCAGAAAGGTTCAATTCTTTCATGGGATCTCTCTTTCTCTTCATCTACTGATCTCCTTGATCTTCTATGGGAAGTTTCCAACTAAAGTAAAAGATATTTATCATTATTGATTGTAAATTGATTGATAGATAAGATTGATCGTTAGATAATGCATAAGAGTTTTACCCGTCCAGGGGCGGATCCAGGAATTTGTTCTGGGAGCGCGTAGCGGTGCTGCACACAAAGTTAACCCAGGGAGGGATGCACTCCTTAGAATCAAAGGAAAAAAACAGTACTTTGTATTGGCTATCTTCGAAGTAGGGGCACAAAGTCGAACCAGGGAGGGGTGCGCATCCCCTGCACCCCTCCCCTGGATCAGCCACTGCCGTCTTAGGAGACTATAGTCGACTCTCTTTGAACGCCCGCTCTCGTAAGCAACTATATCCTGTAAGCGACCACTTACTCCTCGCCCCAAGGTGGTCGCTTATGAGAGAGTCAACTGTATTTGAGCGTATTTTGTTTAGAAATACTTAACACATATAAGGTTATTGAGCTAGTACCGAATAGGACGGCGTTCCTTCTATTGCACGGATTCATAAAGCTTACAAGGACCGAAGTCCCGATGGTGTCCGCTCAAAAAAGGTACACCTTGAGAAGATCGAGGTAAATGGCACCCAGGGAAAACGATCTTCTAAGAACGGCCTCCATAAAATTAATGTTAATCTAAAACGATTTCAACTCTCCCCATAACTGCTCTTTTTATTAAGGGTGGGGGGGGGGGGGGTTGTATTCCGCAGGAGAATATTTTCATTTTAAGACAAGAAATCCAGCATCACTATAGAAGATCAATTCAATTCAGGCCCAATGTGCCCCAATACTTCATTTTGTTTCGAGTTGTATGATGCTCAGGTTTGGCCTCCATTTCGTGCAGAATATTCACGTGTTCCAGCTAAGCTTCGTATAATATGTAAAAAGTCTTTGAATTGTTGAAGTTGTGCATTCTCTACTGTATTGTTGGTATTTGTGAACCGAGTGAACCGAGTCTGTAATCAAGGAACGTAGCGGTAATTTGGAACTCGAAAATGTTCTCAGTATGAATCCCGCGTGCTTCATTAAAGATCATTTTCAATCCTCACATAAAAACACTTGAAAATTTGACTTTAATCTTACCTCAAATTCCGCGTCTTGAGCTTCAAAATTAACACCAGGCTCCCTCTCCTCGCTCAATAAGCTTCGTCGATGTCTGACACCATTAACATCCGGGAACATGATATTTGCTACGAAGCGCGCGACACTGGGTAATAGGTCCTTATTCAGACATGTTTTGAGAGGATAAGATTTCTCGTCAGTGGAACCCATCATTGTCAAGTTCACTTGCATATTAATGCAACTGGATGCAAGCGATTCTAGTGGCTCTTTGAAGCAGATACTCTTGATATCAAATAACTTTTCAAGGCCAAAGTCTTTGATTGCTTTCGATGCTCTTATCCCAGTCACCGAGTCTCTGTCGATGAGAGACAATGCTTTCCCCGCAGCATCCAGAACAGCTTTGGTTTTGCCCTTGGAGAACTCGGCGTCGAAGAGATTTTTAGTGACGTGGTCTAGACGCTTTTTCTGATCCTTTAAGATATCCTAATGGAATATTAGATAAAAACTTAAATAAATATGGGTCATCATAAAACGACCAGACTTGACAGACGCGCGCAGATAGGCCCTTTTGGAGTGCAAGTGTGGGCGCGCATCCTGTTTGTATTTATCAGCAGAACTCATCTTTATAGGTACTGCAGGCTCGAGAAATTACGGGACGCACAACTCGTCAAATTCCAGCAGTAGAGAGGTTGACGTATATCAGAAGAGATAACTAGCTAAAAACTAGTGTGAGCTGCGTCGGGGTTTCTAATGAAACAGTAACGATAAAAGGGTAGATTATACACCGCGAAAAGATGGGAAAACTGGCGTTTCGGACGCTAGTCCTTCGTCGGAGTAAAAGAGGACGTATATCAGTGGAAAATGAAATGCAGTTTCATCGTGTAGCCGTATCTTATCTTGCATTACAGGTATGTGTAATTCTCGTGGTGTAAGTCAGTACCGTATGTATAACACAGCCAATACGCTCTATCTGCTGGTATGTGTAAGTCATGTTCTGCTGTAAGTCAGTACCGTATGCATTACTGGTATATGTAAGTCATGTCCTGCTGTAAGTCAGTACC